GGGGGGGGGGCGCTAAAAAGGTATTGTGCCCCGGGCGCGAGTTAAGCTCTCTACGGCACTGGGATTCGAACCCGGTTCAGCTCATTCGAAGGTGAACGCTCTATCCCCTGAGCCATCACGGCTCATTTCTAGAATTTATATAAAATCATTTGTCAGTCAAAGGTATAAATGTTGTGGTAAATACAGTGTCTGTAAGAGTTCTAAAGCATATTGTGCTTTTTAGTGCAAAAGTGTTTAAGAAGGGAGAGAATTACTTTTAAGTAAGAGATTGGAACGATGTTCTGAGGGTACAAATGGCAACCGAGTTGGAAATTGGAGAGTTTTTAAAAACTCGAAATGGTAAGATGTTCCCTCAATGTGATAAAAGTAAAAGAGGTAAAAAGTCTACCAAACTTACGATGATGCAACCCTTGATGGGTTTTGTATGGCAAATGATGTAAAGAGAATGGAATGAAGTTCTCAAAGAACAAGTGATGGCTGATGATGATGGATGATAATTGATGATGTCTAAGATGACTCCTACGGATGATAATCTTGATGATGAGCTTGTTGAAGAAAATAACGCGATAAAGAATGCTCATAAGTGTGGGACAATTGGTGAGCTGGATGATATTGATACAATGAAATAGTTGTTACACTGGCTGATACACTGGTAAAAATTCGAAAAAGACTTTCAGAGGACAGTTAATGAGTCACTCAATGACGCAAAATTATGTAATATCGATAAATGTGTAAAAGAAAAGCCTAAAAATCATTGAGATAACATTTAAATTGAAATTGTTATATTTGTAATTGAATTCTTTTTTTCTAATTTCTTTTTCTGATTTAAAATAAGTGTGATAAAAAAAAACCTGCAATTCATTGTTAATCGCTTTCCATCTTCCATCATCTTTCCATCATATATATATAATATAATAACAGGGCTACATCCCTGTTATCATTGTTGTATTCAGCTTTAATAATGCAGTCATAAGCCATAATACGTTATAAAAAGGTTTATTTAAAGGTAGGCTGGTGGTTATAACAGTTCACATCCCCACCCCACAAGGGAGGGGGTGTGGACAAAACTCCAGATTGTTCCGGCAGAACTTTTATGGAACACTATATTCAGGAAGAGACTTGCGAAAATCATCGGTCTCGCATTAAAAACTAGCAGAGAATGATGTAATTAGGTTCCAGTCGTACATACCTTGGTAACTCTACGCATTACTGAAAATCATTTAATGCTTCCTAATATGGAAGTGAAAGAGGATCAAGATTCTAAAAATAACTCCTCCTTTGAAATATAAATCTAATTATGATTTAATGGTATGTCTTCAGCCTTGAAGTCCCAAAATAGAATTTCTACCCCTATTCTTTACCAAAGACAATTAATGAAAACGAAAAAGTTTTTATGTTGTTATTAATACAAAAGTATTTATAATTTTTGTATTACATCCCCCCAAAAAAATCTTGGCAAGCCAAAATAAAATAATGTAGAATACTTTAAATTTATAAAATTTAGGTTGGTAAAACTGTTCTTTTTCCCTACTACAAATAATATTTTTTTCAATTATATGTAAAAAAAAAAAAAAACAATTATTTACAATGACAAAAATATTAAACACATGATTACGCAATTTATCTGTTTAGTCAACTAAACAGAAAGAAAAATGATACATATTTATATAGCTAATCTACTGAAGTTTTCAAAAAATTTTCACACAAAAATATACAAAACTTTTATGCAAACGAACTAGACAACAAGTGTCATTTAATCAGAATTTAAGATTCTGTGTGGTTAAAAGGGGTTATTTACTTGATGAAATAGAACTATTCTACTAAAATTTTCAAAAAAAATTTTCACACAAAAACATACAAAGTTTTTATGCAAACGAACTGGACAACATGTGTTATTTATTCAGAATTTAATTTCAACATTTGTGGGTTGTGATATTTCCTAAGCTTTGATACATGTACTAGTTAAAAATTTTGTTTACTTAAATTTCTTTTTATTTTTGCAATCAGTTTCTTGGTCATTCTTTCTTTTTCCTATTTTTCCTTTTCTTTTTATTTTTTGTTACCCTTTACATTATTTTTTCAATGTTTACTTTTACTGAAACATCTAACTTTTATTTTTTCAATGTTTACTTTTACTGAAACATTTTTAACTTTTATTTTTTCGATGTTTACTTTTACTGAAACATCTTTTTTTTCTCACCATTTTTAACCTTAACATTTTTAGAATTCTGCTGTCTAATGTGCAAAGATAAGTTGTCACTTTTAGAATTAGCAGAGATGATCAGTCCCTTACCAATTGTAACAACTGGTCCGACACAATCAATAAACAAGCAAAAATCTTTGCAAGTTTGCAACCCTACTGAAGCATATGGTAAATCAGTATCAAGT